GTTCCTCTGGGAGATTAATTAACTGATAATATGGGAAAAAGTCTTGTTATAAGTGAAATAGTCTGCTAAGGGATCTAGTACTTCTTCATCAATATTAAGGAATTATTTATTTAAAATAATCTCCTACATCTTGCTGAAAAGTTGCATGCGAGTTTTCTTTCATTTCTAGTGCAATAAGATATTTGTACAAGAAATTAGACAAAAATATTTTTAATAAGATGTTTTTGAAGTGTATGGATTTATTTTTTGCTAGTTTGTTGTATTTAGTTGGACTCGGAAGAAAAAAGGCAGTTGTAGTTTGATCGCTAAAAAAACTACTTCAGAGAATACATCTCAATAAGATAAACAGTTTTATTATTTCATTATATAATTTAGAATATAAGAAATTACAAACTCTGCTAATAATAAACACACTGAATAGCAGGCATATGTCCTGTGCCACCATATCATCTTCCTCTTATATGAATAACCTGGATTTGTTATATTTGACCTAAAATCATGAGAAATAGTTGTCTTGCTAACTTCAGCACATAAACATCTGTTCCTGGTCATAATGTTCATTAATGTCCATGTTCCATAGAGACTCAGCACTACTTTTTATACATTGTGTCTACAGAAACATCTATGTTTCCAGTATTTGGTATATAAAACCAAACTTAAAGCAGAACTAGCCAAATTTAGATCTCATCTAACTTAGGTCATGCATCAAGCTTCCTGCTTTCAGTAAAATATAAATTAAAAAAAAAAAAATCAGTTGTAGAAAGAGAAAGTGGCTATAAAAATTATGACTAAAATATGATTGATTTGCAATATAAAAAAGGACATTTAAAATATTTTTTCTTCTCCATAGGGAGCATTTGATGACTTTTATGGCCACTTGCTCTTTTTACAACTTGGCACAATTTTTTGTTGTCGTTTCACTGAAAGCAAGAAGCTCGAGAACCGCCTAAGGCGCATCTGTGTGAGACCAAATCAAGAAACCAGCATCTCATCTAACTTAATTTCCTTCTTTGGGAACGTTTCACATTCGAAGGCTGTGATCTTCCAGTTATTTTTCATTTTTTGTTGAGCAGCAGATCAAGTGAAAAGAAGTGGCTAACGTGAATATTTCATATCAAAACAAACTTTTATGATGTTTCTTAAGAATGTGGTGTTACACTGTGATACTCACCCCTTGCTGCCTATAAGCCACCGACACAGCCATGGCAGGCAGAACTTGCTCTTACTCACCATGCTGCTGTTTCTGTGCAGCAGCCACTCAGTGATACCAGCTAACAGACCAGGAGGAGGAGAGGAAAGGCCGGCGCTCCGTGGTCCTCATGGTGCCAATGCGTCTCAAGGAGGAGTGGGTCGTCCTCGGCACAGAATCACTGAACTTTCTTTTTTTTTCTTTTAACCTAATTCAGCTAAAATAGATGGTAGCTGAGTTTGGACTTAGGCTTTTTTACATTGGAGTGGTCCTGGAACTTCAGCGAATGGTATCCTCTGCTCCTTCCAGCGAAGGCGTGCGCACTTCATCCCCGGTGCCGCGGCTGACCTCAGATGATGAAGTGGTACCCGGTTCAACGCGGCTCCTCGGGGGAGGAGAGGCCCAGCGGCAGCACTCCTAGCTGACATTTGAGCCAATCGTCTTTCCTGACGATCGGGAAAATCTGAGTAAAACCGGGCAAAGTGCGACAAAGACGAATCAGACCCAAATCTCCCCAGGGAGGCCCGAGTGATCTGCCGATGCTCTGCGAGTATCAGAGTTGTCACAATCTCGATTCTCCTGCCTTCTGTTCAGAACCAGAACCGAATGCGCGGGGGGGAAACCTTCACAGTGATGCCGAAGCTGCTTCTGCAGGCCGGGGTTCAAACAAGAGCAGGCGGCGGCTCCTCCATCCGTCCTGTCAGGTGGGGTTTTTTTGCGTGTCAATAGGAACAGTTGCGGGAGTAAGTTACAACCAGAACCGGCCTTGTTTAAACAAGCAGCGATCCTCTGGAAACGCGGGTCTCTCCTCTCTGGAGCTAAACGTATCGTCTCACGAGCAGAAAACAACATTTTCGTGTGAACAAAACTCCTCGGAAACGCAACCGGGCATCGCAGCTCGGTCAATTCACTTCCATCGAAGAAACACTTCCCCTTCACATGAACAATTTATTGACAATCGGTCACATCAGGCGCCCAAAATGCACTCGCAGTTACGTGAACAGCGTCGCATGGGCATTACGGGTTTTCCTTTTGCCCCGTGACATCAAAGCGTACATTTCTCAATTTTTTTCCCCCCCCACTTAAAAACAGAAGTCATCACAGGTGCGGGATGGATTTACACAACTTAAAAAGCTTCCTCGTCAGCGAGGACTCACACACATATCCGTGCCTTTTCTCTCTCTTTCTCTCTCTGCAGAGGTTTTTGCAGCTCTGCGTCTGCAAAGTTCAGTGGGTGTGATGTCCGAGTGTACAAGCAAATATGAATGTTTTCATTACACACACAAAAAAATAATAAAATCAAATCTGAAAATTGTTATTCCGAGTAAGTCACTACTGCATGACTAAATACAAAAAAAAATGTCTAAACAATACTGTGGTAAGAAGATCGAAGAAAAAACAAACAAACCGTATTGGCAGGCTCATATGAGTTATTGTAATTGTGTACTTCTAAAATTTAACTACATTAACTGTTAAACCACTGCTAAAACAAAGTAGCTGTACGGATAGCAGGTCTTTTAGTGTCTACCATCCACTTAATGGGTTATTTATCACTATGAAAATGGGAGGGACACCGGTTCAGGGAAATAAATAAAACAGGGCGTTGACTATAAACACAAAAATGTAGCTTTTTTGTCTTTTTTGTCCACAAGTACTTCACTTATATATATATATATATATATATATATATATATATATATTATATATATTATATATATATATATATATTGCAATGCTAGATCATCTCCGAGCAAAACAAGAATGCAGAAACCGATAACACATTAAAAACACAAGAAAAGTTCAGTATTTTCTGTTAGTAGCAGGTGTGGGCTGGTTTCTATGTTATCCCCCCAAAAAATTAATAAATAAATGCATTCAACTATTATTTGACCCATTGGAGACACTTAAATTCATAGATATTGCAGAAATTTGGTGAACCTATTGACGAATCTTAAAGGAATAATTCAACATTTTTGAAATGAGGCTCCTTTACCGGAAACAGTTTGCAACCTGACATCACAGTGAGATTTATTTTTAAAAATCCTAAGCATCATGAAAGGCTAGCACAGTCAAAAAGACTCAATGTTTCAGCTGATTTTAGCTATTTAAAATAACCCAAACTGAATCCCATTTTAACAACAAAAAATACATAGAAACACTTTTTTTTTTTCTTATACCCTTTGAGTGCTTCTAACTGGAAGTGTTTTCGTTTTCTGAGGTCCAGTCCTGATTTAAATCTGATAGCTTCTCAGGGTCCTGCATGTTTTTTATGCGTTCCTGCTTCAGCACACCTGATTCAAATGATTATCTTCTTGTACCTCTTATCGATCAGCAGAGCTCTGCTGAGCAGCCATTCACTTACGTCAGGTGTGCAGCATCAGTGAACGCCTAAAACATGCAGGACAGTGAGCCCTCAGGGTTTTAATTACTGTAGTGCTACTTTATTTTAAGTTTTTCTAGCCATTTGTGACAAAATACAATTTTTTTTTTTTTTTTTTCAAAACATACCTGTATGTTTTATTATCTTCTGAGAGACACTCGTCTCATTTCTGATCAGAAACGTCTAGGTTAAATGAAAATAATAATTTTGAGCTTAGCATTAAATGCCCCAACAACCTGTTATCAACCCAGCTGGGCAGAGGCATCAAATATGGCAAATTATATCCTGGTGGACCAATAAAGCCAAAAGCGTCCTCCAGCTAGCAGCAACACAGACAAAATTTGACTGAGAAAAGGAAAAAAAAAAAAAAAACTTATCATCAAAGCCCCTTTGTGAAAGTTTAGACTGTTTTAAACCTGCTTATGTAATTCAGCTCACGAATACAAACATTTTACATTTGGGTTGTTTTGGACGGCTGAGTCAGCTAAAACAGCGAGTCCATCTGACTCGTTAGACTTTCACAGATTTAGGGAACATGTTCACTTTTCTACAAACTTAAAGCGATGTGGCCTCTTTCTATTGCAAATAAAAAACCTCACGTCAAGACAAATTTTAAGCATACCCCTTTAAAACAGATCCACTAAGGTTTGAACAATGACCTTGAAGAAAATGCACGGATGAGACTCCACTGTTTGACCTGTATTAAGAAATGCTTCAATGTGAACTGCTGACCTTCACATTGACCTCCACCTTTTATCCAGACAAAACATTTTATTCGACTTTAAAAGACCCTGCACAACACTTCTTCAGTAAATCACACTCCAAGACGTATCGAACGACTTCAGTAGAAGCAACATAAATATTTAAGGTAGTACATGTAATAGGAATGTGATCAACTGGAGGAGAGCTGTGCGGTTTGTTTTAAACGTTGACATTACCAATTGACTTTCCCTTTTCTTTCCGTCTTGAAATTGGGGATGGGGGATGATGCTCAGCTACAACACTTGAAAATCTAAATTTTAACCTGCAACATGCTTTGTCAACAGAAACAGGGAGGAAAGTTGTCGTAACACCACCACCAGTGCAGACCGATGACGTCAAATATAGCAGCGTAGAGATGAACATTTTTAGGACATTTTAAAATAAATTGAACTAACTTTGTTTCAAATCAGTAGTTAAACTGTAATGGTGGTGTTATCATATAAAATCATTCAATGTCCAACATTTGTTTTGCTTATAACTGGATAGGTAACCATGTAAACCCATAAATGAACCAAACGATAAAATGACCTAAAGGCTCATGTAACTGGATTTGAACAGATTGAATTTCTCCCCCGATATTCAACCTCAGAAGGCTGATAGTACAGCGGCTTTGTGATTGTGATCGGGTACAACACCCACTGAAATGTACTTAAAAAAAAGACCTCTTAGTTGTATAGAAGGGCACCATTTGTCCGTTTAGTGGGTTATATGGCAACATTCAAACACTGGAGAAGCACACTACTGTACCCCAGGATGCAGAACACACAGCATGCAATAATTACTGACAGCAGATTTTTTTTTCTTCTAATTGCCGCTTCATTGTAGTGTACGGTCACTTTTTTATGATGCGCCACGAACCACGATCATGACCAGATAGTCCTCTTTGCTTTTTGCCAGAGCTTTGGCAGGCGAATCTAAGAACTGCTGGGAGAAATCACAGGGGGGGAAAGCATGAAGGACCCCTGCGTTGTCTTTATCCCGGCTGCCCCCCACGGGCAGGCTGATGACTCCGGCTGCTTGTTTTTGGTTGAGGTAGGACACCAGGTTGCGGAGCGGCCGCTGGGTCGAAGCCGCGGAGTCCGAGAGCGACTCCTCCGTGGCTCCAGGAACGGCCAGCAGGATGGCGTAGCCGCCGGGACCTGCCACCTTGATGCGGCGGGACACTTCGTCGAGCTTGGGTTGGTCCAGGCGGAGACGCTGCGTGATCTTCAGCTCGCTCACCTGCCTCCCTGTCGCGCTGTCCATCAGCAGGTCGCTGGCCACGCTGTGGTCGCCCTCCAGCAGGTGCATGTTGGCTGGGAAGTTGCTGTTTTTCAGGAGCAGCATGCCTTGCCAAGCTAGACCGAGTTTGGCGCCGTCCACCTTGGACGGCAGACCTCCCTTGGAGCTGCTTTCAGAGCGTTCTCTCTTGGCCGGCCCTTTGCCACCGTCAACTGCTTTACGCTTGCGTTCTCCAGCTGCTGCCCCCGCAATACCTGATGGTCCTTTATCAGACAGAACCTGGCTCTTGAGCCGCCGTTCTGTCCCAACCCGCTCGAGGCTGTTTTGGCGTTCTCTCACTGGAGAGGCTCTCTCACTTCGCATGGGGCGCTCTGAATCACTGAAGCGCCCCCCCTCTCTGCTGCTGCCACCGGGACTCCCCTCTGGGGAGGCTCGTCTACGTCTTACTGTTCTCTCAGTGCTGTCCGGGGAGAGGTCCAGATGGCGTCCCTCCTCCACTGCACGGCGCTTGCGTATAGGTTCTCGTCCCTGCAGCTCTCGTTCCAGAGACCACGGCTCCCTTGTACGCCGCTCCAAATGTTCCAGAGGCTCAAAAGGCGAGGCCCGCACCCGTTCCCGGATGGCGGGATTGGGCCAGTCGGCTCCAGGGAAGAGCTCTCTGTCCCTGAAATGAAGTGGTGGAGGAGTCCTGTCTCTGACCCGAAGAGGTTCGGGCGTGGCACGGTGAACGAATGACTCGGCCACCATGTCAAATGGCGCTATGGGGAGAGGCTGCAGGAACTGCTGCGGGTAGCGATGCTCAGAGTCTGCAAAGTCCACCCTGAGCCGTCTCTCTGGTCCTCCCAAGGGAAACCCCCTCATGTGTGTCCAAGCTGCTTGTGCAGCATCTAAACTTTCATACTGAATGTAAGCCCAAGTGTCCCCTTTTCTATAGGCAATGGTCCTTATTGTCCCAAAGCGATCAAACTCTCTGGCCAGGGCAGTTACAGGTACCCAGGGTCCAAGTCCCCCCACCCACAAGCGTGTGGTGGGCATGGGTTTGCCATAACCTATCTTTATGGGGTTGCGACCCACGATTTTGCCAGACATACTAAGCTTGGCACGGTGAGCCATGTCCAGGTTCTCAAATTTCAGAAATCCATAGGTGCTAGTTAGTCCTCTGGTGGGTCTCTTTATGTCCACCTCGGTGATGACCCCAAACCTGTCAAAAGCCCTCCTCAGGTCCGCCTCCGTGACAGAAATGTCCAGGTTTCCCAGAAACAACGTCCTGTTGGCTCTTTGGTCGTCTTCGGGAGATATAAAATCCTCTTCTCTGAACGCCGCCCGCTCTGCAATGAAAGCGGGACGCGCCCTGGCTTCAAACAGAGCAAACTCTCGGTCCCGCTCCAGATCCCTGGGCAGGGGCGGCGGCGGGGGCGGGGGCAGCTGTCCCAGAGCCAGCTGCTGCAGCCTGTAGTCTCTGTATCCAAGCCCAGTGGGCGACAGGGGTCTCTGCAGATGTCTGTGACTCTGAGCCGCCACGTACAAGTCCCTCTCGACCGGGGATCGGCTCCGTCTCCGGTTAACGTAGACCGCCTCGATCTTCAGCGGCCGGTCGTAGAGCACCAGCCGGCCCCTGGCGTGCTTCGCGGCTCGGGCGTCCTCCGGCTTCCTGAAGTTCACAAACGCGATCCGTCCGTCGCTGCTGCGGCTCATCTTGACGCTCACGTCGCCGAACTTTTTGAATTCGTGAAACAGTCCGTCCTCTATGTCCTCGTCGCTCAGCTGGGAGCCGAGGTCGCTGATTTTCAGTGTTTTGTACTCACTCTCCGCGCTGGGCGGCTGGAGCCGCTGCTCCGCTCGCGAAGAGACGCCCCTCGGCGAGGCTAAGTCCAGCGTGAGGCTCAGGCTGTGGTTTTTACCCGCAGCGGACTGACAGCTGTGGTTATTTCCCGTCCGGCCGTGGCCGTCGAAGTCTCTCTCTCTTTTGTCGCCGAGTAGACTCCGTCTCGTCGAGCCGCCGTCGCCTTTTGTCGAGGTGTTCCCATTATTACTCCCGCTGGAAACGGACAGAGCCCCCATTTTCTTGCTGGTCGGATGACATCCTCCCCTGTCTCGAATATCTTCCAAGGCCCGGGACCGTTTTTTAATCGGCGACCGCTCTTTGCCTTTCATTTCAGTCCGGGCGGAGTCGAGCCTTCCGGTTCGTGGCCTTTTCTTAGCACGACTTCTGCACTGCAGGTGCAGAAATGAGCCGAAACGGTAAACGGATTTAATCAGAGACCCTGCGGCAAAACAACAACAGTCGCCATTTTGTTAAGATTAGCCTAAGGTCCCGCCCCCTCCGCTCTGATTGGCTGGAAAGTGGGCAGAAACCTTTGAAATGCCTGTCAATCATTAACGGAGCCCTTATAAATAAAGCCGTGTCCACCGCGGCTGCATTTTGAAAACAAATAAAGATGTTTTCAAAATGCAGAAGATTGTAAAAAAACAAACTCCGGTCTGTAATTTAGCTCCTTTTTTTTCAGTTTAATCGCAGTGTGATAATGTGATGTGTCACACGATTCACGGACAACGACGTTTTGGGACGTTAACATTTCGAAAAGTTAATTTATTTTAGCGGTTAAATTATGTAACTAAAAGCAATTAAGTCAGTGTTTCTCAATCCCACTTGCATATTTAAGGCGTTTCCCTTCGACCACACGCCTGATTTGAATAAGTGGGTGATTAACATGTTTCTGCAGGACTTGATGTCTGCAGAGGAGGTCAGACAGTCATTTGCTCTGCAATAGAGACGCATCTAAAATATGCAGGACAGGAATAATGGAGACACTCTGGATTAAGTAGATTAATTTCAGACAGGAGCAAAGTCGGCCCAAAGTACAGTATTTTAGAGCTGAGCAGCAGAGTCTGTGAATTTTCTCAAGGTTGTGCTTGTGACCTTGCTTTGTTGCTTTTGGCAGTGCATCAAAAATAATTAAAATAATGTTTAAATTCTCAACTGAAAATAATAACTGTAACGTGCAACAACCTTTCAATAAATCACACTCCAAGACGATTATTACATTTTTTATGTAATTGTAACAACATATGATGTATAATTTAATGAAAAATTGAAATGCTTGTTTTGAACTATAGATGATCAAATGCAGTCTGATTTCCCCTCTAGATTGTGTCATTAAGCAGCTTTTCAAAAACCATCCATGCAACAACAGTCAACAAATCTCAGTACTTTTACGTCTTCACTTTGCTGAGCTTATATTGAAATTCTTCTGCACCCAACATGACTGCAAGAGCAAATAAGTAAGTCAAAGACGTAACTTAATGGTCATGATTAAATTATAGTTTTTGCCAAAAACAATTTCTTTCAACCGCTATCAATTTTTTGAATTGCGCAATTTGACCGACTAGCAATTTAAGAAACTGGTTTTTAGCTACTTGTTTACTTTAAATGCATGTCTCAAATGCACAATTTTCAAATAATATTTTGGAGGAGTTGTCATTCCTCCAAAACGTTGCGTACACACACGTCTACAAAAGAAAATTTGACTTTTGACTTTATAGTTATCCAGTATCAGACAATGAAACTCTCTCTGCCCAAAAAATATTACTGGATTCTCATTGCTTGCATTTATTATTGTTTGAACGAAAGGAACCTAAATATATAACATTAAAATATAGAAAATATTCTCAATAAGTGTTTAAAAGGAGTCTCTTTTCTGTTTATGCAATACATGATATAAAGTGATCCAGATGCAGTCAAGCAAAATATTCTGTCATAGTCAGTTTAGTTTTTTGTTGGATTAACTGTTGAATGTGAAAGATGTTCACAGTCAACATCTAAAAGCAAATTGCAAACAATATGAAATACAACAAAGCAGAAAAATCCTCCTTCAAGCCTGATGAAACCTTCTTTGTTTCTGTTTTAGTCCTGTAGTCCATTGCTGCACTTTGTGATGCAGATGTTAAGACTTTGTCAAAATTATAGAATTTATAGGCACATTTCATTGATGGATAGTTGAATTATTCTCAACTTGATCTGATGCCACTTGGTGGCAGCATTTAAGCAATATTTTTGAAGACTTCTATCATTTTTATCAGGAAATCAATCATCCTAAGCACCACCACAATCTTTATTCATAGACAAAAACTTCTGTTATGAATATTTCTTCTCCCTACATTTTTAATAAAATTAATTAAGACATCTGTGACTACATCCAATTTACATCTGAAATAACAAAGTTAAAAAATGTGATCAATGCCTATTTACAGCAGTCTTCAAATGAATGGCACCCTTTGTAGAGTAAAAGTTTTTTATTGATTTTTTATTTTTTTTGATCTTATACAGTTACTGAATATTTAATGTTGCCACATTAATTTGCAATGCAGCTGCTGATGATTTAATCAGCCTCATTTCACCAATAAAACAGGAGTTCACCTACACATTTTCACAAGGTCGTAGCACAGAGGCATTTTGACAAACCCTCGTCTTTTAACAATTTCTCCAAATCATCCCGCCATCGGTTCTCTAATATTTTCTCTTGTCTTCAGATCAACCAGCAGATTTTGAAATTGTTGCGTATTTTGAATCCCTATCCTGTTGATTCAGCCAATATTTACGTAGCAATTACATTTTTGTTTTAAGTGTTATTTTATATTGAAGAATCATTGATGCTCAAAGAAGGATTTTTGGAGGACCCGCAGCATCACACCTCTCACATCGTACTTAATGGCCAGGAGGTGCTTTTTCACATGTTCACTATTTGTTTCATGTCAGATCTAGTTGGAGTTTCTGTTGCGGTAAAACTTGAGGTTAATCACATCTGACTAAAGTACACAGTTCCAGTTAACATCCCAGTAGAGTTTGTCAAACCCGACATGTTTATCTGTGCCATGGTAGAACACAAAAAGCTTTTTATTCTTGGCGTCATTCCCAGGCAACAATTTGGTATGTAAATAGTGTGTGAGTGTTGTTATGGTAACCTGAGGACCAAAACGATGCAACGCTTTGCTGTAGCTTTCCAACATGAAGCTTGGTGGATTGTTTTACTTTGAGTAAACTTGCATCTTTCTGCCAGTAGGTATAAGGGCAAGTTAAGGAGAGTAAGTATTTTAGAAAAAAACGTAACATGTAAAAACAAAACTAGATAATACTATATTTCAATAAGAATTTTAGAGGTTTCAAAAACTGTGTACATTTTTTACTCTGATCAGCTGGATAAAACCAAGAGCAACCAAATACTTTCAAAAGTCAGAATTAATCTCAGAGTGAAGCTAAATGTGATATATTTGTAACTTTGAGATGATTATTTTACATCTCAAGTAGAATAATCAGTGCGGATACCAACTACTAATCTGGCACTACACAAATCTGATCTTTATGAAATTGTGACAAGAATAAAATTACTGAAAGAAAGCGATGAGGACACAAGACTAAAATAAAACTTCTGTCTTGAAAACCAACACTGCACACCACTCTGAACACATTGCTCCATGGTGATGGCAGCATCATGCTGTGGGGTCACGTTTCGTGAACAAAGACGTTAAAGATGAGCAGAGTTAATTAGATACTGAATGGAGATAAATAAATTGAAATATAAGAAAAAAAACCTGCTGGCGTAAACTAAAGACTTGTGATTGGGACGAAAGTCCAACTTCCAGTAGCACAATGACTCTAAAGCCACCACAAATAAAACCCCCATGTTAGAATGGTCTAGTCAAAGCCCACACTCAAATCCTCTTGAGAATCTGAGACTAATGTTCAATCTGACTGAGCTTCTGCTGTTATTCAAATAAGAATGAGAAAAACATTCAGTGTTTAGCTGTGGAAAGCTGGTAAAGGTAGACTTTACTGCACAATGCTGGTCAAGTTCTCAATAAAAATAGAGAACATCACTCCAGTTCTAAAGTTCTTACACCGGTTCCCTGTGTTCAGATAACAGACTTTAAAATTATAATTATAGACTTGTTGTTACAGGAACCCTCCAGACCAATCAGGTCTTCTGCTTCTCGCCTCCTCTGCTTTCCCAGAACCAGAACCAAACACAGAGAAGCAGAATTCAGTTTATGTGCTCCTATACTCTGCAACAAACTTCCTATAAATCAAGGTTGAGACCCATTTTTTTGTTTTTGAGTTGCTTTTGACTAAAATTAACTGCAACATCATTCATTTTTCTCTGTATTCTAACTTTTCATCAATTTCCTTTAACTTTACATTCCAGTGTTAAGTTTGTTTGTTTGATGTTTTGTTGTTATTGTGTGAAGCACTTTTGTCTTGTTGCTAAAATGTAGAATACCAATAAACTTGCCTCCTTACCTTTGCAGTAAAATCTGGTTCTTCAGAGTGTTGACTCAGAGGGGTGAATACATATTCACGTCACGTTTAAGACGTCACTCTGTAAAAGATCCTGACAGCCGTGTGTCCTTTTTCACAATTAAGTGTGACTTTGTGTTTGTCTGTCATATCAAATACCAATAGCATCCAATGAAGTTTTTAGTTGTCACATGACAAAATGTGAAAAAGTTGAAAGAGCATAAAAATATTGTAAGAATTTCAATTTCATCCTGCCTTGTAGCTGTTATTCATTACGTTTCAGTAATTTTTTACTAATCCTAAAGACCGCCAAGACAATTTTGTTAAGAGATTAACCATAATATATAAATCCATTCCACAAAGACATTTGGTTGTAATTTTATTTTTGCTGTATTTCAGCGAGTTACACAGTGACTATTCTCCTAAATTCTAGGTATTAAAAATAAACCAAAGACACTAAAATTATGACTTTTCATTTTTCTATTCTGAGCAGAAATATAAAATGTTCCCGTTGCTCAAAACTATATGGAATAAAAAAAAAAAAATCATCATTCTGTATTTCCTCATCTCTCCAAAAGACGGCCTCCTCTGTGGTTCCTTCTCTTCTTACCTTCTCCACTTATCCTGGGACACAGTCGCAGAGCCCCATGTCACTGCGTCGTCTCCCAGAGCCTGGCCAGAATTCGAGGCTGTGGGTGTGGAAAGTGTTTCTGACGGCTTTGTGCATTCTTCAATTGGAACCACATGTTACAGAGCCTGAACGAGACCTGGCACAGGGAGCGAAGGAATATCATTTAATCTACCCTGAGTGTTCTAGGGGAAAGAATAAACCCAGTATTCCTCTTAGCCATCTCCATTCCTGCAGTGAAATATATATTTTTTTTTCCTTCCACAGTTCAGCTTGTACTCTCAGTCCTCAAATAGACTGAAATGTTTGTACATTTGACACAAATATGTCGGTGTTTAGCAATTTAAGCAAGATGTGATGGTACGATCAGGACGGGTCAGGAGGGACGTGGGTTAGAGCTGCAGCTGACTGACTCATCTGTTAAGTGGTAAAAGATACAAGGGACAAATTAAATATATGAATATTTTGGTAATTATTTTCCATCATTCATTAAATATTAGTGAAATAGAGGTAAACATTAGTCTGAAGCTGAGCTAATTATGCTAAATGGTTGATAATCTGACACAGTCTACCCACCTCTCGGAGAAAAACTGGGTTATAAATTGACACTCTCTTTCTCTCACTTTATTTTTTTAGAAAACCTGATTTTATAATCTTTCTTAGCAGCATAGTCTTGCCTTCGACTGTCTGCTGCTGAACAGCGTCACCGTCAAGCAGGAACGAACTATTTCATGGTCTGGTAGTGGCGACCTAAACTTTTTACTGCCAGAAACAATCTGGCAGTATTGCCAGAATAATCATGATTATTCAATATGAATAATTTTGAAATTGACAAGGCCCCATTTATGTTTTTTTAATTTCTATGAGCAAAAAATAAATAAATAAATTGTGGAGGGCCCCCTGTCGGTCAGGGGCCCTTACAATTGTCATCACTTTCCCCCCCCTGTACAGCCCCTGGGTATGATGCAATCCTATGTTTATTTAGCAGTAAAGTGAAATGTTTAGGGCAGAGAACAAAAAAGGAGATCCTGAAATGCAAAATATGTCACATGAGACAACCTGTTTTTCCTCTGAAAGAAATGAAAAAAAAAAAAACAAAGAAGCAGGAGAAACATGCGCCAAATTAAACTTTCTCCATGAAACTATAACTCAGATTGCCACAATTAGTTGTGTTAAAAATAAGACAAATAGCTGTGTAAGTGCATGAGAAGCCATGAGTGAAAATTCATTACCAATACTGACATGTAGTCACTGCCTTTTGTTTTGCTCTAATAAACTAAGTCGCAGTGTGCACACCATTAATAACTATTTGCAGCGCAGAAATCCTCGTGTTTATGGTAAATGCTTCTGAAAAGTATTTCTGTGTCACAACCACATTTCTCCCAAACAAAAGTCAAACCAATTCCAGCTGATTCGGTTTTTGTCTCATCTTAAACCTAAAATTGCATCCAGGAAGAAAGCACATGTAAATGGAGGACTTTATTTCTGATCATCACAGATTAATATGATACTTACAGTTTTTTACATGCTTAAATAACTTCTTCTTCTTCTTTTATCCCATCCCTGCAACAACAAACTGGAACTGGTGACAAAGCAGGCATCGATGTTTCCAAATCTCCATCACTTTTCCAATGGTGTTCTGTAAAAACGGCAGGAGCGAAACATGCGGGCGGTGTGTGTTTCTGCGGCTGTGTGTGCTTTGGCTCAGTCAGTGTGTTAAGGGGATCACTGGTGGTCATGTGGGCCAGGAGATGATACTGCCCGGCTCTTTGGCTTTCATTCGCAGCGCCACCAAACCCGTTGGTTTGTAGTCACCCTCCGGCCCCTCGATGGCGGGCGGACCGAGGCCTCCCGGGAAGCTATGAAGGGAGTAGAGGCCGTTGATGCCGTGGTGGTGAGGCGGGTGGTGGTGGTGCGGGTGGCTGGGGGAGGCAGGCATGCTCATGAAGCCCTGCAAGTTGCTGTGGGGGTGAGGATACGGACTCATGCAGGACGATGGAATGGAGTCGGCTCCCAGGACGCAGGCCGCACCTGAACTGCCCCCTGCAGCTGAAGCAGTGCCTGGCCACAGGTTGCCCTGCATCTGGATGATGACAGATTTAGGATGGGAAACTTGATGGAAAGAAAACATGTAATTCTTCCATATGGAGTGAAGTGCTTTGAATGCATGATTGGAAACAAGTCAGATTTATTGTGGAGTAACTTGTCGGATTTGGAGTAACCCACCTGATAAGCATCGTGACGAGGGAGAAGAGAAATATCGTAAGAAGCAGCAAAGTGGTTCCGGACATCCTGGATTTTCCCATAGCGTTCCCGTTTCCTCCATTTGGCTCGACGGTTTTGGAACCACACCTTTGAATCAAAGAGAAAAATAAAGTGCTTTCCAGAAATATCCGTGCTGCTTGAGCACAAACTTGGATTTTATGTAGTTTTCATGAGACAAATCAGCACAATTAAAATCCCGGAAGTGGATTTTTATTTTATTAAAAAGTTCAAAAGAAGAACTAAGCTTTCCATGTTTTGTCCAAAATTCCATGTTGGATTGACATCTGGACACATCTTTCCTGTCCAAGATGAAGAAAATCCTCCAAGTTGCATGATGAGGCCATCCCCATGTTTCATTATTGATTTGTGATCTACACAGCATTCATTTCCCAGGTGACAAAGGAATTTGTAATTTTACATTTAACTTTATTTATCTTCCTCTGAACTCTGACAAGCTTCCCTTTATGCACCAAAAGAAAAAAGCTTTCCAACAGCATGATGGTGCCTCCACCATGTTTCACAAAGTGGATTCTGTTGATGTTCTGCTACACATTGCTCTTTGCACATGGGCCAAAAGGTTCATTTCTAATCTGATCAAAGTTTCTTCATCCACATGTTTGATGTGTCTGTGTAACCTGCAATTAGTCAAGGACTTTTATTTTTGCGGTTCCACTTCCTGTGTTGCCCCAAACTCTGCGAGCTTATTTATTTTGTTCTGAAACATGTTGATGCTGAGGAAAGGAAGGCAAAATAAAAGTGATCAGAATGTAGCTACACTTAATTTTGATATTGCGCAATATATTTATTTATTTATTATTTTTTTCTTTCTCTCACTCTGCTTGAGTATTTGATAATTTATTTCATTTTTCTTGAATGATACTTTTTGTTTTACTTTATTTGAATTATGGTTAATTTAACCTGATTATTGAAATGTTTATGTGTACTTATTAGGAATCTAGCTATGCATTTGCTTTTAACATGCATAAATTAAATGCCTAAATTTTATAATTATTTCCTTTGTACTATGTTTGTACATAATTGTTGTTTTTTGATAAAAACACTTGATGAGTTTTCTGACCTTTCAGGTCAGGTTTTTTTTCCTGACGGATCAGATCTTCAGATCCTGACTGGATCTGAAGATGGCGAGCTCGAAAAAAAAAAAAAGGACTATGGACTTTATGATTTTGGGAATTAATTTATTCTGAGTCAATTATCTTGTGTCTCATTGTAATTGTCTGTTTTTATACAATTCACTTAATATATGTGCACCGAACCCAAAAGTTTCCTGTTTTTCACTCACACTTCAGTCTCCTTAAAAGATCACTCTTTTGATGCTGCTTTTGTAGCCTCAGTTAGCTGCCTCGCCCATAAGTGCTACATCTGCATTTCTTGTGGGAAACTGCAAATCAGTTTTATTTTGGATTTTTCAGCAACAACGTTTTCTTACTAGACACACAAATTGTTGCTCAATCTGCAGATTTTCCCAGCTGAGCTCCAGATATATGCAGTTCTTCCAAAGGTACTACGGACCTTGAGGATGACGAAATGATTTATTCAGACTGGTCAGTTTAGGTGGACAGTCATTGTTGATCAAACATTGGCCTAATTTAAAAATTAGCCAGCTTGCAGAGGCATTGAAAAAAAGACTGAATTTCATTAGAGAATAAATTTGGTTAAATAAATACTTGCTATGCTTCTCAAAATATTATTTACCAGTAAAAAATTAAGCCATGCCAAAAAAAAAAAACATTATACTTTATGATTGTAGCATGTCAAAATGTGAAAAATATTTAAGGCACTTCTGAAGGCAGTGACTGTAATATCAAAAGAAGTTAGTCAAAACCACTCAATCTTTAGGATGCATAATTGTAATTCCTATTAAATTCTTAACACAAGGTTTAAGATGTGACGCACACACCTGGACCCTGGCCTCGGTGAGCTCCGTCCTCAGAGCCAGCTGCTCTCGGGCGTACACATCGGGGTAGTGTGTCTTCTGAAACACTTTCTCCAGCTCCTCCAGCTGAAAGGTGCTGAAGGTGGTCCGGTTGCGCCGCTTCTTGCTTTTCCCCGATAAGTCTATGGAGTCGGCGATGGAGTCGCCCTGCAGGCCGCCGCTCTGCTCCTTCAGCTTGCCGCAGCAGTCTGGGCCGATCCCAGGATAGACCACGGCTTTCAGAGCGCCTTTCTCCCTGACTGAGGAGCACACAGAGGAAAAGCCGAGTTCTCTTTCAGGATTGAACTGGGTTTGTGTTTGGGTGCCACGCTTACTTTAATAAAACTTTTGAAAGATTTTGACTCAAGTTGGACTGTAGCTCAATGTTCAAGTGTTTAGTTTGCCCTTCTGAACATTTTGAAGTCAAGATCAATCTTAAAAATTGAAAGATTATTTTAACTACCATAACCAAATTAAAGTTTACTTTACAGACATGTGGAGCAAAAAGTTTATCGGTGACCTTGAGGGACCTTTACACTGCAAGGCTCAATGTTATGACAGATGAAAACAACATAAAGTTAAACAACATTTAGTGTTGTTGTCACTAACTGTTTGTAAGGCTCCTCTTAATGATTCTGAAATGTAATAATTTGTCTATTAATCTTTTAATTGAGAAATGTGTTTACTCTTATTTATGATGGCCTTAAACTGTTTCTTTTTTGTCATGAATGTTTTGTAAACTTTGAGTCTGAGAATGTTTTTTAACTAATATACTAAATACAACAATTTTCAATCTACTCCGAAATATTTTTTTCTAGCTGTTTCACCTTGATCTGGTTTTAACCTTCAAGTTACCATTGGAACTTAGAAGTTTTTAAGTACATCTTTCTTATAAACTCCTTAAAAAGTTGACACCAATAAGTCAAAAATAATTTAGAGCAGCTTCTTCATATGGTTTAAATGAGAGCTAGTGATGTTTGCTTGTTTCTCACTTTGGTTTACGAATTCAAACGGCCAAAATAATCAGTCTGAGACTCCCGAGGAAAACTAGAAACACAAGCAACGCTAATTCTGATTTAATTTGATCAGAGCAGACAAACTATATTTAGCTGGTAAACAGGCAGCTGGCTTGAATTCAATTAAAGAGCAACATCACAGCTGAAAGTGAGCACTGAAAAGGACGTGTGAATGTTACAGGAAAAACAGAAACATAACTTTGCTTTACATACACGTAAATATTCCTGTTGAAGAACTTTTGGATTCATGAAGTGTTTTTTCCCTCCTCGTTGGGTCATGTAGGAAATGTGAAGGCTTAATTTTGCTTCCTGTTGTCAGAGCAAGAACAGGGTAGCTCCCCTCCTGCAGTGTTTGGATGTTGTTGTCTGTTTTCATTACGTTTAGCCCTTCAGTCCAGAAGAGAACTACTCCATCTATTTGCAACCACCCACCCACTGGGGGCATGCTGACTCCCCCACTTTGCTTTTCTCCGAATATAATGTAAGGCCTAACGCAAAATGCTGCAGACTGCAACATTAATTTCCTCATGTCCATTAGATCCAACCTTACGCCACAAACTGAAAATGTTCTCAGCCGCAAACGTGGGCCGCAGGGCATTGAGCAGCTTTTAGCCTGTCAAGAAGTCACATCCGCTCGGCCTCCGTGGGTGAAACTGAAGATCCATATCACATGCAGCGTACAACGCAGAGGGAGTATCTCCAAGAGCAAAAGCAAGGCGTATCGCGCTGTTAGCAGGAGGACGTGACGGGATCCATCAGGACTGAGCTCCAGATATATGCAGATATATATATGAAGAAGTCAGATATATATATGAAGAAGTCAACCTCTTCATAGCTGATCGGACTTTTTGGGCCAAGTTCTTGCAACTTTTAAAGTAACTGAAGGAACTTTTCATATTTAAAATAAATCTTATATAAAGACCTGGAGGTTTTGGGTATATTTTTTTAACACAAAATCAATTGATTTTACATATTTTGTTTAGTTGTTATCATTAAGCGTAACTACATTTTATTACATTTAAATGTGTTAAAGTGGAATAAGATCAAAACGTTTATTTCTCATTAAAACACTAAGTATAAATTCTAAAATAAACTAAATTACTTGGGTCGCTTTTATTTAAAAAAAAATAATGTTAATAAAAATTTAAAAAAAAGAATCCAGTTGACAATAATCTAGACAGGCAAATGCAAACATAAAAAAAGTAATAATAATTTGTCCTAAAGTAAAATAAAAATAAAATACCATTAAAGTAAACAAATAATTTAAAAATATATGAAAACAAATATTTTTAAATCTTATTGTTTTTGATTGAGGTGACATGAGCTGAGCCAGAGCAGCAGTTACACCGGAGATAATATATAATCTATATATATGGATTTAACAGAAATATTAAATTTCAGTCTCAGTGCACTGATCATCACCTGAAATATTATAGAAATCTCTGTTTTTGTCTTGAGCATGAGTACAACCTTTGTTGTATTATTCCGGATTCAGATTTTGCAAAGTTTTCATCAACAATTTCCTCGACTGCTTTGCAGAACTCATCGGAACTAATAAACAAAGCGGAAATGAAACAATTACACAAGCTTCGATTGAACAAAAAGCTTTTAACAGGCCATTTTGATGCAGCGGAGAACAATTCTGTGACCAGTTTTATCTTTCTTTTTATTTTTTTTTGAACAGAAAAATTGTGAAAAAGACGCTGATTAATCGGAAGCGGCAAATTATTGAACCATAAACCTGCATGTTGGTTCGTTTACGCGCATGAATCAAACAACATCAAACAAAATTATTAGTTGCAAGAGAGACAGAAACATGACTTTTAATTTTTGATCCGATATTTGTAAATGTTTTCCGCTCGCCATCCTCTCCACATCCAACTACATTTCGGTGTGATACTTCAACGCGTCCGGAGAAAATGTAATCAAATAACTGTGCAATCACCTCCCTCACTGTATAATTATTACGCTTATGTTTGCTTTTAACTCACCGTCTGAGCCGCTTTCATAAAACGCCGCTTTGTCGCTTATCATCGCTTTGTGGTCCGGGCTCAAACTGTCCAGAAACTTGCCGTGTTTGGGAGGAGACGCGGCCGCAGAGCTGTGCGTAAAGTCCGCAGCGTCTCCAAATCTGCCCATGGAGGCGGCTGCGTACAGGTCCCCGCGCAGGCCGAGACGGTGAGGAAGCGACGCCACAGCAGGATGGGGAGCGGGATGATGGGAGGGTTTCTGCAGCTCGTCGCAGGGCAGAAAGGAGCCGGAGCCGGAACCACTGCCTCCGCCGCGCTCGAGTCCCGGAGAGTTGGCCGGTGTCCTCCCGCCGCTCTGGGCGGAGAAAGGCAAACAGCTCTCCGTCTCCATGGTTCTCGTCCAGTAGGCAGTTGAGACAACAGCGACTGGGCGCTGGCGGCCTGGGCACAGTGAGGGATTTTCACGTTTTTTTTTTTCTTCTCTCTCTTCTGTGTTCAAGTCAAGTGGGTGGGATTAAACAGATCAGAAACAAAGACCCGTTAAACGTCCACTGAAGGGCTGATGTGTGAGATGGGTTTGTGCGCGTGTCGAGTGTGTGTTGGTGTCCGGTAGTCTGATATAATCCGCCAAAAATGTAATCACGGGCGGTTTCTGTCCGCCTAATTAACCATTTCATTGATATCAGACGTGTTATGTTGGAGCTATCGCCAGATCAAACGGGTCACTCTACGGCCATTTGTTTTCCTTCATTTCATCTGTTTTTCGCTTCTCTTTCTAATTCCACATTTGCACATAGGTCAAGGTGTTTGTTTATCCGATTTTTTCCTGTCAAGCTGAAATGTTTCAGGCGGCTGTAAAAACCACGCAGCCCGTGTTCATGTTGCAGAAAGCCGCGCCGGGGCCTTGGTCGGGAAAACACGAAGATTCCGATTAAAAGACGAATAAAGTTCAACTCGTCCAGGCATCTCTGGCGTTAAAGTAGGAGCAATTTATCTAGATAGTTTATTTGATTTTTATTGTTTCTTTTTTTTAAATTAACGATTCATTCAAATATGCCATTTTTAAGAAATATAAACGTATTTGTTGTCATTAAGCAATCAAACCCTCATTAAAACCGCTGGACACATTTTTGCTCGTTTCACTTTTGGACGATTTATCGCTGGTTAAGATTTGGTCGGGTATTTTAGGGTCTGTCATTCCCCCCCCCCCCCCCCCCCACCTCCCCAATATGTGATAAAAGAAATAAAAGATTAAAGATCAAACATATGGTTTGAATAATTAAAAAAAAAAAGTTTCTCCAGCAGCCGAATGTTTCTAAAAAAAAAATAAATCACTTGTTAAAATCTTAATTATCTGAAGGATGAAATTATGATGCGTCTTTTCTTAAGGAATTGTCTGTCAAATAATAATTAAATACTTATCTTAGAATCGAGCCTATTATTATTATTATTATTATTATTATTATTATTATTATTATTATTATTATTATTATTAACATTATTATTATACAAAGAACTAGAACATTTAAAAATTTTATAATATATGAACATTTAATAAAAAGAAGGATGTATTTAAATTGATGTATGATGTTTAAATATGATGGTAAGTTTTATGATGTATGCTGATAATAACCCACTATTATAAAAAAAACACATTGAAGCTACTGTTGTTAAAATAAGGCAGAGTAAATGAAAAACAATATATTTCAGGAGTAGCTGCAGTTCCTTATAGTAATTCTCATTCAAACACTTAAACATTTCAATCTGTCATAAAGGGTCTGAACACAAAGACTGAAATAGCAAAACATTAACATGAGGATCATATTAATTCCAGTCTGAGGTGAAATTTTAAGTTTGCTTAGTCCGCTGTTTTTGTTTGTTTCTTATGCGAGTGAAGAAAGCTAAATTTTCCTAAACAAAAGAAACAAAAGCATAACAGCAAAATTTGTCCAAGGGCCGTGGTAGAAGATGTGTTATTCTTCCTCCCCATCCAGATTCAATGTGAACACACTGAGACTCAGCATTAGAAGAAAGAGCTTTTGATTCAGATGAGTTATCTCAGATCTGGACGGACCTCATCCAAACACGCTGCACTCACAGGCTTCAGACGTAGCGCCATTCGCTTTTGGGGGGCATCAAAGTTTCTCTGGATACCCGAGGCCGCGCGCTGCTCAGATGATGGACAAGTGGATAAACATGAGGTCCATTTGCTTGGAGAGGCAAGTTCTTTTGCTTTATTTTTTTTCCATTGAGATGCATGAGGTAAAACTGCTCTAGAACAAATACATTGCTAGATTTTTCTGCTCCTGATAAAAGTCTCCAGTTTTTGGTTGATGGAATTGAAATTTGATGGAATTTGTTTTCAAAGTTTTATACTTTCCTTGAACATTGCTCCTTATTGCGAGAAACTTCCAGAAGTTTCTCGCAATAAGGGTGACAGCGGGTGACTTGATTTCTACTAATATTGCATCGATTATCCATAAGATGTGCAGCTGGATGTGTTGATCTCTTGTGAAAGCTTCCAGTCAGATTTGAGCATGTTGTGGACTAACTATTACTACATAGAAAAGCCCAGGACTAAAAATATCAGTGTTCAGATTAACTGAAGCAAGGATCCTTGATGAAATAAAGCAGGCCCTTTGTGTGATCTCCGCCTGTGATGTGTGCAGGTGACAGGTTTAGCCAGGAAAACGCCAGATAAACAGTGTCAACAGTGTGTCACTCTCGCGCTTCCGGTGCCCCTAAACCCATGTTCATCCAGCTTGTCCTGGGCATGACCCTGCACAGGAAATCAGTTCAGCCTGTTCAGAGTCCCAGTTCCCCTTCCTCCTCCTCTTTCTCCTCTTCCTCCTCCACCAGCAGCGGTTCTGGGCACAGAGACCATGGAGAAAGGTGACCCCGCACTCTCACTGCTCGACATGCAGCCCTCAGGCTTCCTCCTGCATGGGACACCTGGCACCCTCCATCTTCAGCACACAAGTGCAGTGCAGGTCAGAATTTTACATACTCTCAAACATTTGGTTGCCATATCTGAGAATAATCCATGAGCCACTGGTTCACGATAGAGAGGTGAACCAGTTTCACTTTCTAGTTTTAATCTCGACTGAAAGGCTCTCCAACTTTTAGGGTTTGATCAAAGGATGGCTAGTGTGTTTTCAAAGGAGTCCAGGTGAGGAGTTTGAAGCCCCAGTTGGCAAGCATGTGGTGATGGGAGCATCATGCCGAGGGACTGTTTCATTAACAGTGGTATAGGAACTTCACACAACTTGAGTGGATTAATGAATGAACAGGAATTAATCCAAATTCTTGAACTTTGCTTCTAATCTCGAGTTAGATGGTGGAACCGTTGGGCGATCCGACAAAACAACGACCACAAAGCGTGTTTTGGAAGGGATGAAGCAGGCTAACGTTATGATTCAGGAATTATCCTCCCTTCAGCTCCATTGAACATGTATGGACTAGGCTGCATAAAGGCTCCCTTCATGCCAATTTATTGTTAATGGTTTAAGTGTTTCTCACAATTCCCAAAGAGACATTATACTAAATATTAGTGTAAGTGTGTGTATGGTCTTTGGTCACAAATTTACATGAATCTTTTTCTGTTCTGAATCTGCAGCCAACATGGTGTATTAATGCCATCAATGCAAATGCTCAGTCTTTTATTAGCGGTATTTAGGCGCTGTTTGTCTGGAAAGCAGAAGGATTTTCCCAGATCAGGCCAGATAAAGTCCAAAATTAAAGTGCACTAAAAAATATAAACTGGGGTTGTTGATTTATTCTACCAGAAACATCTGACAAATACTTTGGAGGTTATTTATTATTTTTGGTTTGTCATTTCAAATATTAAACAATATTTAATTACACATTTACATTTAATGACAGACTTCTTTCTTCTGCCAAATAAGTGCAGAGAAGCTTAAGAGGCTATGCAGTGGTGTGATTCAACTATATTAGAAACACTCTAATGATGAAAAGTGAGGCCTGTTTAAAAACACATGTTATAGTTCGTTTTAAATGCCCTGTCTGAGTAATAACTATATTAATAGATTAGTCTACAAATTGAGAATTTAATATCTGTCTTATTCCTGTTTGCATTATTCAGCTGTAAGATATATGAGTCAAACAATCCACATTTCTACCGTCTTTATAACAGGAAGAGAATATATGTGTGTATATCTTCTCTTCACTCTGTACAGATTTAGAAGAAAGTTTCACAAAATATTAGATTTGCACATTGAGTCTTGTTTTTAAAATTCATTCATATAATTTTAGAATTATATCATTGAAGAGAGCAAAATCAAATAACAAACTAATAATTTGTGACTTATTGCTATCACGGGAGTTTGAAAACGTCTGACCAGAACCGTTTCCGCTCTTCAAAAAGACGAGGATGAGCTGGAAACCTTAACGAAAGGACGAAGGATTTGAGTCGCCGAATAAAGTGGAAGGATTTAACCTTTTATGGTAAGAATTGGTGAGATCTCAAAGCAAGCGGCTGGAGGAAGAAGTTATAAAGTCTGCTCCGCCAGATGAATAGCCTACCAACACAGGACAGGCTGCTCAAACAAGGAACCGCTCTCAACTTCTTCGTCTGGCTGTCACCGCCTGGGGCCTTTCCCCTCGCGTACCGGGTGGCGATTCAACCTGAGGTTTGTATTAGAATAGGAGAAGGATAGCTAATTTAATTACTGGGCCATGAATGCACAGAGATGATCCCATATGTAGAGGCAGTGCTCCTTTCAGAGGCCTCCCTCACATCCTCCGGTGCATGGCCAGAAGCTGCAGATTCAGCTGAGGCCGTGACTGACAGCTGCCGACCTCGGGGTCGGACGGCCGGGCGAGGTGCATTCTGGGAAGCTTGCTGCGGTCTGCTGGAAGTGAGATGGGAAGTGGGGCGGCTGTCCTCTGCCTGACCTCCTGTGAGGCGTCACTACACAGCCCAGAGAGTGTTGGGATCCCCGGCCACAGGACACCAGGGAACAGGCTGGCCACAGTCTCCTAATGAGCAGACAAAGACTTTTCCTCAGAATGTCCTTGAATAAAGATATTTATTCAACCGAGTTTTGGAAAATAGAAGTTTGTCCTTTCTTGTTCCACGGAAGAGTCAAAATACTCCTTCGGATGAGCCCACCAGGGAGTTGTTTTACACTCAAAGACCCTAATGTTTGACGCTGCAATGACAGCATCTGCAGCATTCCTTATTGCACATGTGAAAGCTTATGGCCTGTGATCCATCCATCATTCGCTCTCTGTTAGTTAACTACATCTCTCACTGTTTTTTAACAGCTGTGATCAAGATAAAAACAGAAACAAGGAAAAATATTTAAAGTGATGATTCGGTAATAATTATTCAGAGTGAGTAGAATCAAGAACGAGTTCAGAAGTTACCTTTT